TTTGAATCTAAAAAATTGGGAAGGCCAAGATCTTATTTGACTAATATTTAAACTAAAAAGGACCTAAACTATCATTATATAAATTTTTTTTGGGGAGGGGCAACAACCCCTCCCAACCACCAAGTAGTTCCATCTCTGGGTCGAACAATATGCGAAAGTGAACACCAACAGGGATGCGAAAGTCACCAAGAGAGACAACAAAGCAAAGAGACTACAAAACTTAAAACAAAAAGAGAGCTTAGTAAATGCTTGAGTTTTTACTCATAAAGAATGGAAGGACTACAAATGAGATAGGAACCTCTCTATTTATAGTTGAGCCCCTTTATATTCAATGACTTAAATTAAATTACATCAACAATAAGATTGAATTATATCTTATTAAAATCTTTATCCTATGAATCAAACATTATCTATATTATTCCTTTAATTTAAGAAATTATCTCTTCTTAAATTAAGGAATATGCTTATCTTGAAAAGATGGATGGTCTAAGCAAGCCCAATACTCCACAAAAACCCCTTTTTGCGATTATTCATGCACTCGTCTCTAACCCAAATTTGTTGCTACCTTTTTCCTTTTTGCTCTTTCTAAGTTCATCATCATTGATCATTTCTAAAAGTTTTCCTAGAAGAAGAAGCATGTTCATCTAAATACATGTCATGATCATTACTCTATTTTTTTTTAAAAGAAAACATTTTCAAAGAATATTGTATATCTAGATTCACATATTAAATATTTATGCAAGGACATAAATATGTAAGTTATTTAAAACATAACCAGCAAACACAATATTAAAAGTTTTGTAAGCTATTTAAAACATAACCAACAAACACAATATTAAAAGTTTTGGACCAAATAGTGTTCTTTTTAAAAATATGCAACCCTACTTTTTCTGAGAACCTCTACACTTTCAGATAATACAATTTAGATGCACGATCTTTCCACAACTTATACATGGTAAAATCTAATATTTTATGAGATATTTATTAATGATATGATTAGAAAAAAAGTATGACCCTTACAGTAATCAGATAAACCAAAACTAAGAAAAAAAAAGCAGACATTATTTTCATTAGAGTTCTATTTTTTTTAGTTATGTCATTTTTTGTATAGTGTCTCATATGTTTCTTTAATAATATTAGTTGTATATTCTTTCTCTTTATCAAATTTAATTATTTTATTCTTTTATCAAGTTGATTTTTTACTTCGACTTTATAAACTTCAATTTTAGATATCAAGAGATAAACTTTAAAAAATTTAGAGGAATTGTCAACAAAATTGATATAAACTTCAATTTTAGATATCAAGAGATAAACTTTAAAAAATTTAGAGGAATTGTCAACAAAATTGATATGATATCGTTTTTTACCTTTACTTTGTTTCGTTTCATAAGTCTGTTAAATTTATATGTACTAACTCTAAAAATTCAGTTTATCTAGTATGTAGTAACAGATTTGAAGGTAGGTCTAGCATGATTTGCTTCAACACATATTTCACCGTTATTAAAGCTAATTTAGTCTATATTAGGAAGCATGTTCATTTGTTTTAACATTTTTAAAGTGAGAAGGTTCACATATCCACTACCATTCAGTTTGATCTTCCACTCTGTGTGAATTGATGATGTTTGATGTCATATTAAAATGATAATATTGAAAAGTTGTATGGGTGATATATGTTAGGTGTTCATCTTCTCTTTCCAAAAAAATCGATATTATGACAAGATAGGCATGCATTGCAATGCTGCACAATGTTATGCTTGTTGATATGCTATAATTGTCTCTTGATAGATAAAAGTTTAGGGAGTACATGGACAAGGTATATCTAAGATTCAATTAGAATTTATATAATAATTTACATATTGTTTTACATATTGTTCATCAATAATGACGGTGGTATGATTCGAACTTGACCTTATGAGTTTATATTTCTGAATCCCAACTATTTATGCCAACACCGTTGGCATCACTTTTTTCCTGTTGGATATATTAATACGTAGATTTGATACGTTGGAATTTCTTTATTTGATTCTTATATGTAAAGATTAGCAACAGATGTCTAAGCTATGAAAGCAAGAACAAAGAAAACAAACGAAAGAGAAAAATCTTCTGAAATTCATTATCTTCAAGAGTGTATTTTTACAAGTCTCAAGGAGTGACCTTCTTCAAACTCAAAACTGCACAATCATGATCAACGCTCCTTCAAAACCCAAAATGAAATGAATGTCCATTTAAACTAACATTCCCCTTGCAACCTTCAACTTCAAATCTTCTTCAAAACTCAAACTGATTTGTTTTTATGTTGCATCACCAGCAACTGTTGTCTGTGTTTAAAAAACAAAGGTGTTGATAAAGGCTTGGTCAGCACATCAGCAACCTGCTCGATTGCAGGAACTTCATGCACTTGTAGCTGTCCCATAGCCACCATTTCTCGAACAAAAAACAGATCTAACTCAACATGTTTAAACTTGGAATGAAGTACAGGATTAGCACAAACTGCGACTGCACTTGTATTATCACATCACAACGTGGCCTTGCCATGAGTAACTATATGCAGCTCTCCCAACAGTGATCGAAGCCACATTATTTCAGCATCTGCACAAGCCACACTTCTATACTCAGCCTCAGCAGTTGAACGTGCAACAACCTGTTGCTTTCTAGAGCTCCACGACACCAAGTTCCCACAAAAATATATACAAAATCCTGAAGTTGATCGTCTATCATCAACATCTGAACCCCAGTTCGCATCTGCAAAGCCAGTCAAAGCCATTCTCGAGGAGGGTATAAACTGTAGTTCAAACTCAACGGTGCCTTGTAGGTAACGAAGTATTCACTTGACTACCTGAAAATGAACATCCAGTGGGGCTTGCATGAATTGACACACTCTATTCACAGCAAGCGCCACATCAGGCCGAGTAATTATAATGTACTACAGAGCACCTACTATGCTTCTGTACTTGCAGCATCTTCAAGTGGTTTACCCTCCTTAGCAGATAGCTTGACATTTGAGAGTCTTATGTATTTTTTAAAAAAAAATCAACACAAATGTTAATATTATTAATAATTTATTTTTAAAAAAATAAAATCTTAATATATTATATTTTCGAGCTTCTCACGAGTTTTTCGAGTCGAGTATCTAGTAGATCGTTTCGGCTTGTTAAGAATTCGAGTCGAGCTCGAGTTCGAGTCGAGTTCATTTGATCCGAGTATTTATCGAGCCTTGACCTAGTCAATCTCGAGTAGCTCGCGATCTGTCTCGTCTCATTTACAACCCTTGTTCCGAGCCCATCTTTTTTAGCCTTCCATTGCATACTGTGCTTCTACTATCTTCGTGTCTCCCAGAAGACTACAGAAGGCATTATCATAAGGAAATGTCATAGCTCAGTTGGTAGAGCACAAGGTTATTAATCTTGGGGTCGTGGGATCGAGTCCCACGGAAGGTATTTCATAATTCGGAGGTCTCCTACAGAAGCTGCTCTCAACTTGGCATTGGAGGTAGCCTACTATCCTACCTCCCCTTACCCCATTACATATTGGAATAAGGGTCAGCTAATTTTTTTTTAGAGAAGAGGAAGCTAAGAAGGTCAGAGGAAATGACAAATCAAATGTTTATATACCATGCTCAATAACGAAATCTAGGAAAAAACAGATACCAACCATGATGAGCCTATGAATCTAAGAATGCAAGTAATGCAGTGACACTAAAAGAATTAACTGTCAATTTTCTGCAAACGATGACAAATCATTTTTGACGAATAAACACTTAAACCGACAAAGACCAGAAGAATCTGTAGCTTGGTCCAAAGAAGCTAAAATGTACTAATTTTGAAAGCAAAAACCTAACACTATCATGAGCTAATGAAGAAGGTACTTATTCTAAAATAAATTAACCTGTATTTCACCTAGAATTGAAGGAAGAGAATTATAGATAATATCAAAAGAAAAGATGCAAGATGAACAGATGAAAAAGAAAAGAGATTTGGCCAACACAAATAGAATAATCATATATACAAGTACGAATGATACAAGATTTTTTTACCTCAGTTTCCCCAACTTTACCTTTCCTTCCCCAACAATCCAGTCAGTTGGGTCCCTGTCCTTCGAGGCCTCCAGCTCATGCTCACATCTATAACTAAAAAAAAGATCTTTTAAGACAAGCGGCATCATTTCTTTCACACATCATTTCATATCCATGATGCTCCAACATTGAATCATTAAGAAGCATCTCATCCCTAAGTGATTCATGCCTAGCATGAATTAAATCATGCTTAGAAGAATTTTCACAAGAAAAGAACCCCCTTGATCAAACAATCTATCATTTACAAGTAATTTATCCTCTCTCCAGTGTAGTACTCTAGATCGCTTACTACGACCTCCTCCCCGTGACTGAACTTGATTATCATTTTGTAAATCATAGTCATCGGTATAATTATAGGAACTGAACCACGCACCATCTTGGTCTTCCTCATGATATACTAATCTCTGATGTCTATGGCATCTTTCAATTAGATTGGAGTGATATTCCTCATTTCTTGATGATACAGTATTAAACCACCTATTATATGCAGACAGTTGTCAGTTTCCAAGGCCAGATATCTACTATGCGTGTGTCTCTGATACTCATCTTCACTTTCAGTAGGCCCTGATCTATCCAAATGGAAATAGGCACCGTCAACATATCTACCTTTTCTGCCAGAAACTTGCACATCTCTCTTGATTGGTGGTCTGCGCCTCTCATATGGTTCAACCATACCCCTTTCAGAATGTGTGAATGAAATAGATGTACCATACTTTTGTTTTAACCACTCATCTTCATGCTTACAATCTAATGGACAATCACCATGATCAGTTTTCTTTCTAAATTTTAGTCTGTTATTTCTCCTTCTCCAATGAATACTGCTTTCCGCAGAAGCAGAGGAATACCTTGAAATTAAACTCTCAGATTTTCCACAAGTGTGAGGAACCAGATCCATGATACAAAAACCCATCCATGTCATCTTCTTTAGTTAAGTAAGCTTGTCTTTCATGATAAAACTCCTCATTCCAGATTTTTCTAGCAAACTGATCCAAATCCTTTCTAAAGCGCAGATAAGCTTTTCCATCAAATGCAGAAAGATGGCTGTTAGTATATCTTTTACTGCTGTTAACATAAAGTTTTTTATCCCTGTAGTACGAGGAACTTTCTTTATCATGATAAACAAGATCTTCCGATCTTTCTTTTCGCTTGCCATGGTAAACAGATGTGTAGTCTTTATAACAGAGTTCCCTTGAATTTGATGAATGAGAAGCTTCATAGCAGTTTTTAGGGTATATCTTCTGGTTGATAATACCATTAGGCCTACCATGGTGATGCTTCCATTTTTCCTCAATGGGATTTCCTTGTCTTCGACATCTTTTCGAAACACCCTCTTCATCTGATGATATATATATATATGTATCATACTCATCATCACCTTCGACCAAGATCCTCTCTTTCACATGATGCCGTTGTCTCCAACTCCCATTCTTTTGCTCGTCTCTCAAGGGAATTTTACGTACTGAAAAATCTTCTCCATCATCTGATTTTATTTTATGGCTATCACCTCTGGTGACCTTATGATCAACTGACTTCTGTAATCCAGTTCCCGAACCTAGTGATTTTCTTCTTGATGGACTTTGGGTTTCAACATAAGCAGTGTGAACACTATCTTCTGATCTTTCTTCAGAATCATTTTCAGAAAAGGAAAATGTGAGGCTAAAATGACTTCGATTGTCACGTGATAGATCGGTTTCGGTTATGTAGGTATCTGGTCGGTGGGTATTTCTGAAAGCCACTTCATTTCCCTTATTTTTCGTTTCCATTGCTTCAGCAGTTCCCCCTAAAATGCAAACTTCCATATTTGGATGACATTTTTCATTCATATCAGAGACATTTTCCTTGCTGTGATCACCAGTCTCAAGTGGAGTTCGATTAGATGCTGACAACGACCTAATCAGATTAAAACAACAAATTTAGGCTGTAAATAATCACTAAAAAAATGGTATTAATATGCAGCCTATGCATCAGAAGCTGATACATGCAGATGAAGTTTAAAATGCCAGCTGTAAATATACTAAATATGCCAACATTAAACCTTGTCTGCAAGTGTCAAACAAGTAATAGTATCTTTTTGTATGGAATCCCTGTTTTTTCTTTTTCTTTTTTGTAGGGCCAGAGATCCCTTTAACACTTGAAACTAGGTCAATAGAAGCTTCAACAAGGGATATGCAGGACAAATCAAGCATGTAGAGAACTCAACAGATGAAAAATACAGTTTAAAATAGAAAATGATTCAGAACTCCCCCAAGAAGATGTGGACACATTTATGACCCTTGCATAATGCTCTCCTTTCAGTTCATAACTGCTAGCACTAACAGAAAAGCAAGCGTCTCTATCAACCTGATCCAATTTCCCATATTCTGACACATCAGACTTGCTAGCATGACCTAGTTCCTCCTTTGCAGAGTTGGATGAATCCACAGTGGAATCCTGCACAGGTATCTGGAGCCAACCCATGGAATTGAAAATGATACAGAGGTTACAATATGTAAGAATTGTGGATATAAAGACTACAGTAATAATAGCAGACCTGTATAATAACATCAGAATCTTGAAAACGTGGACGTCTTATTTCCATGGATGGTTGGCGTTCATTGATGCTGTCTTCAACTTGAATTGCTCTCCCTTTTGGCTGAAATAATAAGCCACAAAATAATGAAACACCACCCATGAAACAGATAATATAAAGATGTTATCAGATCCTGCAGCTTTAGGCATACCAATTGCAAGAGCATCTCTCCTCTATCAGCAAATTTTAATGACGGGTCAACTTTGGCTACATCCTCGGTCATAGCTTCTCGAGTTACTCTCTCATGACCAGCCTCAGCTTCATAAGCCTATTTCCATACAAAAAAAAAAGTTGGAAATCTCAGATAATTGAGATAGTTTTTGCAATTCATTCCTGAAAACAAAAAAGTCTACAATGAAGATTAAAATAACAAACCTGGTCAAATTTTGAAGAATAATGAGAAGGAATTCTAGCCTGCCTTGACGACTGTTGCTGCAATTTCTCCTGTTAAGTAACTCAATAAAAGGTTTCTGTAAGCAGGTGCTATTAAGAAAAATCATACAGCTAAACAACAACCATATTCTAATAACAGAAGAAATCAGTTATACTACAAGCTGAAATATGGTAAGGCAATTAGAACAATAATAATTCACTTACCAAGGAGTGACAGTATTCTTTCCAACTATCCTCATTGAATCCAAAATTGAAGAATTCTGTTATATCTGCGCGAGGATGCCTCCAACGTTTCTCCTCAAATGCATCAATATTTACATCCAATATTGTCCTGAAAGAATAATACCCAAAAAGCTCTGGATGGCATTAATTTTCATTACACAGCTTAGACAATCTGAAAATTTATTGGCATTTTTCAATACATGATACATGATACATGAAAGAAACTTATAGCAGATTAAGGTTGAAATGTATTCAGAGATAAGAAGGCATCCACTGACCTATACCATGGAAGGAAAAAACCATATCCAAATTGATGTGGAAATGGTTTCATGGAAGCAATCATCTTTTGGTCGTAAACATCATCTTCCCTATCACCACTTCTTGGCATAAAGAGAACGAGGACATACCAGTAAGTCCATTAACCCTTATATTACTTGGAAAAGATGATCCATGAGGTCTCGCATACTACAAAATGAATGAATCAACACAAATCATGAAAAAATATTTACCTGCTTCGATACAATAAACTTAAAGATTATAAATGACTGTGGTTTACATTAAAAAAAGCTAAAATAATGCTAGCATGCACATTTTTTAATAGTACGGACTGATTACAAGGTAATATATGTTCAAAATCTTTATTATCCATCGATAACGCACACACTTTACGCTCCAGAAGTCAGACACAACAACTTGAACCCATCCCTCTAAGGAGAATAACACTTTTTTTTATTAAAAGGAGAATAACTTTAACTACTGAGGTATTCATGATATATATATACATATATATATATAGCCGAAACAAAACATACAAAAATAATGCTAAAATACATATTTTTTATAAATCAAATTTTATATCCAAAAGAGCAGGAAACTGCTTCAAAAATACAGCCTGTTCTTACAAAAAATCAATACTTACAGCTATATACAACAGAACAGAACATCGACGTTCAATACCCCACTGAATACAAAGAGTACTATTGACGTGGTCATTTCTATTAATTTCCCTACCCCTAAGTTGAATAGCAACAAAATCTTTAATAGCTAGGAGTAAGGCATTAACATTTCTTGAACGTCCTTGGTAAATTCTTTTGTTCCTCTCCTCCCAGATAGTGTAAGTAAAAGTAGTCCAAGCTAGCTTCATGATGGTAGTTAGCAATGATTTTCCTTTCCAGGAAGCGCAAGCCCACGAAATGTGAGTACTCCACGAACAAAATCCTCTGCAAATGCCATTAAGATTCAAAACAGAGCTCCATACCGAATTAGCTAAAGTACAATAGAGAAACAAGTGATCTCTAGTTTCAATCGCCTCATTACAAAGCACACAAATACCGTCAATGTTGAACCCCATTCGAATCAACCTATCTTTGGTTGGTAATCTGTCAAGGAAAACCATCCAAGTAATAATACTATACTTAGGCACATGAAGAGGAAACCAAAATAGCTTATGCCAAGCAACCTTATCCTCCTTTTTACGATTGTGATTCCATATGTCTTTAATTGAATGTGTTCCTGAAGCAAAAACGGAGGCAACTTGATTCTTCATCCTTAGCAGTTTACGAAAGCTCCAGCTTGTATTGATCCTAGCCTCCATGGTCCAAAAATCAGAATTCTTGATAACATAATTTTTAATCCAAGCAATCCAGAACGAACCATCACCCGCAAGGATTTTCTTAATCAAGTGCAGAATACAAGATTTATTCCAAGATTTTATGTCTTTTAGACCAAGACCCCTTCGAATTTTGGGAGGCACAGCTTATCCCATTTAATTATTGCACCTGTAGCAGCTTTGTCAGAACCTTTCCAGAAAAACCTTGAACATAACTGCTCAATTCGATTAAGCACAGATTGAGGAATGATTAGCTGCCTACACCAGAAATTAGTAATACTTTGCAGAACAATTTTAATGAGCTCAAGTCTACCAGCATAACTCAAATGTCTTCTAGACCATTTTTGGAGACGGTCTCTAATATTTTCAATTAGTGCTACACAGGCTTTCTCCGAAAGTTTCCTAGAAACAAGTGGAACACCCAAGTATCTGACAGGTAAACAACCATGGTTAAAACCTGTAATCAACTTGATTTCTTCAATTTTCCTAGAGGAAATTCCAGCAGTGAAGAATTCACATTTATGAGCATTAAGTTTTAGGCTTGAGATTTCATAGAAGTGATCAAGAACACTAATTACCCTAACAACAGATTCAACATTCCCTCGACAAAAAATAAGCAAGTCATCGACAAAGGTAAGATGAGTTAACCCTATTTTTTTACATCTTGGGTGGAAGGCAAAAATACCTCTAGTAGCAACCTTGTTAAGAATACTAGAAAGGACATTCATAGATAGAATAAAAAGAAGAGGTGAGATAGGGTCACCTTGTCTTAATCCTCTAGCACCTTTGAAGAACCCAATAAGACTTCCATTAAATGATATAGAGTAATAAGCAGTAGTGAAACAAGCTTCAACCCACTTAATAAAAGTGGCAGGAAGACCAATAGCAATGACAGCAGCAGTGATAAAATCCCAATGCAAAGAATCGAAAGCTTTATGGAGATCAATTTTCATTGAACATCTTGGTGATAAAGTCTTCCTTCCATAGCCTTTGACAAGCTCTTATGCAAGAAAAGTGTTGTCTACTATGTTCCTTCCTTTAACAAAAGCCGTTTGGTTAAAAGAAATAATTTCAGGAAGAAGATGAGTCAATCGTTTGACCAAGATTTTAGAAACAATCTTATAGACCACCGAACAACAAGAAATAGGCCGAAAATCCTTCACCTTACTTGGATTTGGAATTTTAGGCACCAAAGTAATACAAGTGGAATTAAAAGCAGCAAGCTACATATAAGGATTTCTAAAGAAGTGAGTAATAGCTGCCACCATATCATCTCCAATAATAGGCCAAGTTTTCTTGAAAAAATACGGAGTGTAGCCATTCGGTCCTGGAGCTTTGTCGTTGCCTTGAGAAAATATTGCATCTTTAATGTCATCTCTTGTGACCTCTTTAACAAGATCATTAGAGTTATCCAAAGGCAAAGATTAAAGGAGCAGTTCTTTTAAAGTGTTCGGGTCGCAAGCTTTAACCTCAGAATTAGTCCCAATCAGGTTTGTAAAAAACCGCAGCACTTCTGCTGCCATATCTTCATAAGTTTCTAATCTTCTACCCTGGTCATCAATAAGCACACGAATAATGTCTCTCTTGGTTTTAGTAGCAACCACATAGTGGAAATATTTAGTACATTTATCACCATGATTAATCCATTGAATCTTCGCTTTCTGTCTTAAAAATATATTCTCGGCTTCTTGAAGGAGGTGAAGTTCATTTTGCAGTTGGTATTCTTTTTGGAAAAAATCTGCAAAATTTAAAGATCTGATCTGTTGTTGCTCAAGCTCCAGTTTCTTTTGGTTGACACGAGCAGAAATGTTGCTATAATGGTTCTGATTAAGGGCTTCCAAACTGGATTTTAGACGTTTAAGTTTGGAGAACAGCTGCTGCATAAGGTTACCCTGGGAAGAAGATTGCCAGGATTGACTAACAATATTTAGGAATTCAGAGTGATGGGTCCATAAGTTAAAAATTTGAAAGGCTTTGGATGATCAGCATGAACCTCTTTAGATAGCCAAGCAATTGCTAAACAATGGTCAGAAATTCCAGGAGTATGGAATTCCACATGGGACTTAGGGAAAGCAGTAAACCAGAGAGGATTAACTAAGACCCTATCTAGTTTTTTTTTCTAGATATGATTCTTGTTGTTTGTTGCTCCAGGTGAAAGTAGGGCCATAATAAGGGTAATCAAGTAATTCCAAGTAAAACAGAGCATCTTGGAACTATTTCATGTCAGAGGTAAGAAAAAGACCCAACATGGCAGAATTAGAGCTTTCATTCAAATTGAGTATAACGTTAAAATCTCCTCCCAGAATCCACGGAAGATTGCCATGATGGCTGTTCACTTCATGTAGTTGCTGCCAAAGTTGTCTTCTCAAAACACCTTCATTACTGCCATATATTGCAGTGATGATCAGAGGATTACTAATATAATGACCTTTAATGGTTATACACTGATCAGACATATGGATAACAGAGAAATCAATGCCTTTCTTCCAGAAGATCCAAATCCTTCCATTCTCAGCAAAATTGTAGTTAGTACAAACATTCCAGTGCTCAAACTTAGAATTAATAATAAAAGTAGCATTACTAGTTTTAACTCTGGTTTCCAAGAGGCAGAAAACATCAAACTTTATAAGACTAGTTCTATTAAGAACACCATTTTGTTTGAGAGGACTATTGAGTCCTCTTATATTCCAAAATCCCACAATCTTTGAGAAGGAGATGAAGTAGAAGCCACACTAACTCCTACTTCAGTATTTTTAACTTTCTCTAAACGATCATTCTTTTTCGTTTTTAGTTTATTCACAAGATTAGCAACACCTTTAGATGCAGCTCTTTTCTTAGGATGAACATCATTCAGAACAGGAGGTGAATCTTCAATAGTGGATAGGATTTTGAACATGTTTTTTGATCCAGCAAGTATAAATTTTGAATTGTCTCTTGTAGGCCTTCTTCTACCTCGTTTTAATAAAGGAGGTTCAAGGTTATTAACCTCTACTGAAGGAATAGTAGGGTCAGGGACTAAAGTAGCTTCTTTATCAACATAATCAAGTTTATAACTGGAAATATTGTTGTTGCTAGAGTCAGTACTAACTTCAATTGAGTTAAGCTCCTCATTGGTATTGCTAACAGAAGATAAATTATCTTGTAGCATCTCAATTCATCCTACTGAAGGTTCTATAGCATTAGTAGTTTGTGGAGTTTCTTTCTTTTTCCATACTTGTGCAGTAGGCTGGCCAAACTGTTTATGATCTTTACAACCTTTCTCAGTGTGCCCAAACACTTTACATCACCTACAACTTGGTGGTAACCAAGGGATCTCAACAAATACTGAAGTAACAGACCCATCGTTTAAGACATCCTCTACATAATCAGGTATTTTATCATTTGGCCCAATTTCTATGCAAATGTTTGCAAATTCTAATCTGGTTTTGGATGCAGTGATAGAGTCCATGGAGAGTGGAACTCCAATGGCACTAGCAATATGACTAAGACCAACTCGAGAATAGAGTTCTAAAGGCACATTGTAAAAGTGAACCCAAACTGGAATTCTTGATAGATCAAAGTTAAGTTTTTTCAGATTAGGTTCCCAACTTCTAAGAATCAAAGGTTTGTTGTAGATATGCCAATGTCCATGTTCTAATACCCAATCTCTAGCAACATTCGAACTAAAAGAAAAGATAAAAAGGTTGTTACATGTTTTGCTGATTTGAACCTGGCTACCGTTCAAAGCTTTTTTCCACATTGATTCGATGATTCTTTGCATTGAGGTGTAATTCGGAGGT